GGATTAAAGAAGCTTGATAGTTTCAAATCAGTAGGGGTGAATAAGTCTGATCTTAGAGCCATCAAGAAAAGACTGAGGCAGGTGCAGACATAGAGGGTAAAAGGACGCACAAGGAAATTAAATACCATTCAGTCTAACCTTGATACCCAGAAAGATACTGGAGCACATCACCAAGAAATCTGGTTCTAAGCACCTTGAGGATAACAAATGACTGAGTAGCAGACAACCTGGATTTGCTAAGGGTAAGTTATGAATAACCAAGGTGACTGCCTTCCATGGCTAAGTAACAGGATGTGCATATTTGGGGGGATATGGTAGCAGATGTGGTAAACCTCACTTCAGCAAGGCTTGAGCTGGTATTTTATGACATGCTCACAAAGTAAGCTAGGAAAATATAGTCTAGATGAAACCATTCTAAGGTGAGTGTATAACTGGTTAGATGTTCAAAGAATAGTCATTAATGCCTCAATGGGGAAGCATCAACTGGAAGTCCCCAGACATCTGATACTTTTTAATATCTTTATTCACTTGGATGATGCAACTGACTGCACACACAGTAAATCTGCAGATGACACCAGGATGGTGGGGTAGGAGAGACTGGAGAACAGGAGTTAGGAATAGAAGAATGGTTTTGAAATTAGCTTGATAAATTGGAGGAATGATGTGAAATTCAATAAGATCAAATAAAAATTACTGCACTTAGAATGGTACAAGCAAAGGCACAAATACTAATTGGGATATGACTGGATTAGGCTGCAGTACAACAGAAAATGAGCTGGAAATTATGGTTGTATTGCAAAATATAGATAAATCAACAGTGTGCCATTGCTGAAAAAAGGAGCCAACAGCATACTATGGAGTATTAACAGGAATGTTGCTTGCAAGTCGCAGGAAGTGATTCTGCCATTCTATTCTGCAATGGTAAGGCTTCACCTGAAGTATTGGACCTAGTTTTAGGCATCAAACTTGAGAAAAAATCTGGATAAACTGAAGAGTTCAATTTTGTCAGGAGAAAGAAAAAAAGACTCAGGGGGAAATAGTTTGATAAAAGTACCTAGATACAAAAAGGAGCATTATAAAGAGCACAGTGATCAGCTATTCTCTGTGACCACGTGTAACTGGGTGGCCCATCCTCTTAAGTGGAGGCAGCTAGCTTGGCTGAGGGGCTGCAGCTGTGTGAGGGCTCATGAAAGAGTGGCTCATTGGGAGTCAAACCCCCAGCAAGCAGAACCAGAGGGAGGTGTAAAGGAAAAGCACTAGAGCTGGGAGACTTCTGGGCTATGAGGCAAGCAAGCCTGTTGTGGGAAGGCTGAAACCCTAGTGGACCCCTTCGTATGTCCAGGATGATAATATTTTTTGTTTACTTGCTTTATTTGTTAAAAGACTATATTACTGAAGCTTGCTGAGAGGTGCTTAGGGAGCAAAAGCTTGGTTA